ACATGAGAGAGAATGGAGCTAAACAGAATGACTTCAAAGTGTAATCAGTCCTGTAGTGGAAGGAAGCGGGGTAGGGGTCGGCCTAGGAAAGGTTGGAGGAGGGGGTGAAAGGAGGTTTTGTGTGCGAGGGGCTTGGACTTCCAGCAGGCATGCGTGAGCGGTTTGATAGGAGGAAATGGAACAAATGTTTTTAATACTTGACCGTGCTGTTGGAGTGTGAGCAAAGTAACATTATATGAAGGGGTTTCCAGGGAAACTGGCAGCCGGACTTGAGGTCCTGGAGATGGGAAGTACAAGTGCCTGCACTCTGAAGAGGGGTGTTAATGTTGCAGATTAAAAACTGTAGTGTAAAGCACCCTTCTGGCAAACAGTGATGGAGTGAATGATGGTGAAAGTTTTCTTTTTCGGGCCACCCTGCCTTGGTGGGAATCGGCCAGTGTGATAATAAAAACAATATTACTGTATATATATATATATATAAATATACCGTATATGAAGAGAGAGAGATTGCTGCGGAATGTTGATGAATGCGTGGGGAGTTTTGAATCAAGTGTTAGAGTAATGGTGGTTGGGGATTTCAATGTAAAGTGGGTAAAAAATGTTTATGGAGGGAGATAGTAGGTAAAAATTGGGGTCCAGGGGTAAATGTTAATGGGGACCTTTAATTGAGCTATGGTGTAGAAAGAAATTTGGTAATAAGTAATACATATTTTATGAAAAAGAGGAAAATAAATATACAAGGTATGATTTAGCACGTAATGAAAGTAGTTTGTTAGATTATGTATTGTGGATAAAAGGTTGATGGGTAGGCTCCAGGATGTACAAGTTTATAGAGGGGCAACTGATATATCATCATTATTTTAAGTTTGTAGCTACATTAGAGTAAGAGGTAATGGGAAAAGGAGGAAGGTGGCAACAACAAGAAAGAGGGAGGTGAAAGTGATAACTAAGGAGGAGAAGTTCTCAGTAGATATAAGCGACTAATGGCCAGAAAGGTGGCTATGCAAAGAGATAGTGGGGGTTGAAGAGGTTTGGAATATTTTAAAAAAATGCAGTTATTAGAATGTGGGGCAGAAGTTGTGGTTATAGAGCGTGGGCAGAGGAAAGAGGAGTGATTGTGGAATGATGAAGTAAAGGGTGTGACAAAGAGAAAAAGGTAGCTTACGAGAGGTTTTTACAAAGCAAAGTGTATATAAAGAAGATCAACAGTAATATGGAAGTAAAAGAAAGTGAAGAGGAGTGGTGAGAAGAGTGCAAAAGGAGAGCCAGATGAAAGACGTGGAAGAGGCACTGTCAAGAAATTTTTAATGAAAATAAAAAAAAATTTTGGTGTGAGTTAATAAGTTAAGAAAGCCTAGGGAAAGTATGGATTTGTCCGTTAAAAACAAGTAGGGGAGTTAGTAATGGGGAGAGGAGGTATTGGGTAGAGGGCGAGATTTTTTTGAGGAACTTTTAAATGTTGAGGAAGAAAGGAGGGGGAAAATTTCTGCACTGGCCAGGGAGGTATACCATCTTTTGGGGAGTGAAGAAGAGAAAATGTAATGTGGTGAGGTACGTGGGGCATTACTAGAATGAAAGGGGTAAAGCACTGGAACTGATGGATCATACAGAAATGTTAAAGCGGGGGGATATAGTGTTGGAGTGGTTGGAAATTTTTGTTTAATAAAGTAAAAAAAGGGGGGAAGGTACCTGGGGATTGGCGGAGGCATGTATATCCCTTTATAAAAGGGAAAGGGGACAAAAGAGATTGAAAATTATAGAGGAATAAGTTTACTGAGATTAAGACACATGTGCAAATCTGGGTATCTTTATTGTTTGCTTTTCGCCATCCATGGTTTTATCAATACAAATTTGGAAAAAATTTGAAGACAGTAAATATGTACAGAAGATAGAAATCAGCCCCCTCAACCCTAGGAGGGGGCAAGAGCCCATATGTGGGATTCTAAAAACTCCACGACTATGGTGCTCTTCGCCCCTACCCTGGGTTGGGGGATGATTACCTCATTTTCTGTAAAAGTTCTACTTCTTCAATTTACCCTAGAATTTGTATTGATAAAGCCACGGGATGGCGAAACTCTACAATAAAAAATACCCAGATGTTTCACAGTGTCTTAATCTCATCTTTCGGTATTTTTTACCCTTCGTACACAATTTTCTGATTACCCGGAAAATATACAGGGTTATAATTGAAAGAATTAAGGTAAGACAGAATGAGAATTGGGATGAGCAAGGGGGGGGGGGTTTTAGAGTGGGAGGGGAGTGTAATCAAGTGTTTTTCATTTAAGCATATATGTGAACGTATTTAATAAAGGGAGGGAAGTTTTTATTTCATTTAGGATTTTAAAAAGGCATATGATAAGTGGAAGGAGCAATGTGGCAGAGTTGCAAGTTTATGGAAAGGTGGTAATTATAAATGCTGTAAAGAGCTTTTATGAGGAAGTGGGCTCAGGTTAGGTGTGTAGAAAGAGGGAAATCTTCTCGGTAAAAGTAGGTCTTAGACAGGGGTGTGTAAAGTCACCATGGTTTTTAATATATTTTTAGATGGGGTTGTAAAAGAAGTAAAGCTAGGGGGTTCGGAGAGGGGGGGGTTTAAAAAATGGGGGAAACAAATTCAAAATGGGAATTGACACAGTTACTTTTTGCTGATGATCTTGCTTTTGGGAATTTTAAAGAAAAATTGCAAAATTTAAAATGGTGAGTTTGAGAATGTGTGTAAAAAGGGAATTTTTAAAGGAACATAGAAAAGATAAAGGGGATGGGGTATCAATGATTTTTGAAAAGAAAAATTGGAAAACAAATTTGGGGGGAGGGGAGGAAGAAGTGAATGTTTAGATACTTGGGAGTTGACGTTCACGGTGGATTTTTGAAGGATAGGTTAATCATAGAATTGGTGGGGGAAAAAAGGGTGAGTGGTGCGTTGAGGTATATGGGGAGTCAAAAAACGTTTCTATGGAGGCAAAAAAGGGGAAAGTATGAAAGTATAGTAGTACCAAAAACTCTTAATGGATGTAAAGTTGGGTGGAAAATCAGCAGCGAGGAGGGGTTGGGAAAGGCCGTTGGAGATGCCCCTTTTCCTAAGGGCAATGTGGGTGTAAATATTATGAAAAAAAAATTTGGGAGTGGGAAATTAGGAGAAGGGGGGTGGAGTTAAAAAAAACATTGTAGGGCAGAAGGGGGGTTTTTGAGGGGGTTTGGGGTCTTTTAAAGAGAAAATGGATAAAAGAGAATGACATGGAAAGCTTATAAATCTATAGGGGAAGGGAAAGGGGGGTGGGGGTCATCCTCAAAAGGGGTTGGAAAAAAGGGGGTAAAGGGGGTTTTTGTGGGCGGGGGGCTTGGTTTCCAGCAAGCGTTTTTTGGGCTTTAGATGGGGAGGAAATTGGGACAAATTTATACGGGGGGAAACCCGGGAAGGATCTGTTGGGGGTGTGAGCGGGGGAAATTTTTTGAAGGGATTCGGGAAAAACCCGGTTTTTTTTTCCATATTGTCGGCTTGAGTCCTGGAAAGGGGAAATTACAATCCCTGCACTTTAAAGGGGGGTTTTGGGATTTTGGGGAAAGGTTTGGGGGGATATGTTGTGTACCCTTTAAACGTATTTGCTTCTAAAACTGTTGTTTTTCTGAACACCTCTCCCAAAAGCTTGATAATGGGTGAGTGTGGGGGAAAGTGTTGAATGATGATGAAAGTATTTTTTTTTTTGGGGATTTTCTTTCTTTTTTTGGGGTCCCCCTCCTCGGGGGGAGCCCGACCCGACTTTTTTAAAAAAAAAAAAAATGAAATTTCATGCACTTTGAATGATAAAACCCTTCTTTATTAGCTGCTTTTTTAAAATTTTGATAATGATGATTTGTTTATAGGTTTGGAAACATTTTTACATGATGAACGGGGCTACTTGTTTCTTCTCTGGGGTTTATGGGGTTTTGTTCATCAACATAGGTTTATTTTTTATACTATCTAAAAATTATATTTTTAAAACTTTTAAAATTTATTTATTTTCTTAACACATGGGCCAAAATTCCCACCGGGGCGGGGTGGCCAAAAAGAAAAACTTTCATCATTTACTCCAAACTGCTTGCCAGAGGGGTGCCCTTTAAAACTACAGTTATAAAACTGGCCCTCAGTAACACCCTCCTTTAGAGTGCAGACAAAGTATTTTTTATCTCCAGGAATCAAAATCTGGGGCCCGCCCGGGGTTTTTCCCGAATCCCTTAAAAAATGTTAAATTTTCTTTCCTCCAACAGCCCTGTCAAGTTCAAAAAACCAATTTTTCTCCAAATTTATTTCCCTTTAAATTTTGCTCATGCAAAGCTTTTTCTGGAAGGGCCAAGGCCCCTTTGGCACACAAACCCCCTTCCAAACCCTTTTCCCAGGCTGACCCCTGCCCCCCCTTCCCTCCACTTCAGTTTATACACTCGGAAATCATTCTGTTTTGTTCCCATTCTCTTTTAATAAACCAAACCCCCTCAACAACCCCTACTCACCCCCCTGGGGTAAAAAATTTTTTGGGAAACCCCCACTTCCTCCTAATTTCCAAACTATGGGAAACCCCTGCTTTTTTTTCACACCACACTTTTCCTCAGACATGACAAACCCACTGCCCCCCCAGCCTTCCTTTCCCCGGGGCAGCTTTCACCCCCCCTTTCTTTAAAACCCACATAAGAGTGTTTGGTATGACTATACTCTCATACATTCCCCTCTTTGCTTCCATGGACAAAGTTCTTTGTCTCCACAGACTGCTAAGTGCACCACTCACCCCTTTTCCCCTCATCAGTTCTATAATTCACCTCATCCTTCATAGACCCATCTGCTGACACGTCCACTTCTAAGTATGTATCTGAATACAGTGGATCCTTCATGACCTTGTTCGTATGCCGAGTCAATTTTCCTCATTTAAATTAATTGAAATGGCATTAATCGGTTCCAGCGGAATTCCTGCTCTCAGGAGGCATGACAAAATACTTCAGTATGATCTAATATCAACTCTATGGCTTATTTATAGTATATCACAATTCATCTGATTTCATCATCACTCAAGGAATGAACAACAGGTGCGTCATTGTCAATGTTCAGCATTTCTTCAATGTCAGTTTCCTGTAACTCCATTAGCACACAAGTCAAGGTGAATAAATAGAATTGTCAATGCTTATTGCTTGGGTACGTTTATTCTGTTAGTGGGTTGGATCTGTAAAGGACCTGCCTAGTATGGGCCAACAGGCCTACTGCAGTGTTCCTCCTTTCTTATGTTATTATGTACCCACGACATCAGTCATACCCAGCCCCTCCCACTCACATATTTGTCCAATCTCTCTTTAGAGCTACCCAAGGTTCTATCAAAGCTAAAACCTTGGGTAGTTTCAAATTTAGGTTGGATAAATACATGAGTGAGTGGGGTTGGATTTGGGACTTGGATGAGAGTAAATAGAATTATTAAAGCTTATTGCTTGGGTAGCATTTATTCTGTCAGTGGGCTGGATTTGTGAAGGACCTGCCAAGTATGGTCCAACAAGGCCTGCTGCAGTGTTCCTCCTTTCTTATGTTCTTACGTTGATGAGTGGAACAATCTGCATAGTATGGTTATTGACGCTAAAACATTGGGTAGTTTCAAATTTGTGTAGGATAAATACATGAGTGAGATTAGATTAGAGTTGCTAATGAAAAAGACCAATCCAAAGGGGTTCTTCCAAGTGTATAGGACGAAGGTGAAGGAAAAAGTAGGACCTCTGAAAATTGGGAATGGACAGCTGACGGATAACAAACAGGAAATGTGTTCCTTATTTAACCCTTAAATGGTCCAAACGTATATATATGTTTTTTCAACATTTGAAAGCATGTAAAAAAATGTAGATATTCTTTCTTGTTTTACATTTGAAAATGTGTAAAAAAACTTTTATCTACATGTTTTTTTGTTATATTTGAAAATATGTAAAAAAAAACGTAGATCTACTTTTGGAGCACTACGGATTTGAACGTCAATCTGTTTGGACCGTTTAAGGGTTAATGACTATTTTTTGTCAGTTTTTACACAGAAAGGCATGAATGAGATTCCAAAAATTAACAGTTATTCAGTTCCTGATGAATTCAAATTAACTAATATTACTGTCATGAGGGACATGGTTATCAAACAGATAAACTGAAGCAAAATAAGTCCCCGGGGCCCGATGAGTTGTTTTCCAGGGTACTTAAGGAATGCAAGATGGAACTTAGTCAGCCATTAACGAGTGTGTTTAATGCATCCATCCTTACTGGTGTTGTGCCAGGGTTGTGGAAGATGGCTAATGTGGTTCCTATACAGTGGACCCTCGACCAACGGCTTTAATCCATTCCAAAGAGCTAGCCTTTAGTCGAATTAGTCGTTAGTCAAATTAATTTTTCCCATGAGAAATAATGGAAATTGAATCAATCCGTTCCAGACACCCAAAAGTATTAAACAAAATAATTTTTTTTTACATGAAATATACATTTCCCTACACAGAAACGAATGGTACATACAAAATAAACAATAATTAAATGCCACTAACCTTTATTGTGGAGTTGTAGGTTTTCTATTGTTTGGAAGGGGAATCCCCTTCCATAAAGACTCAGGTACCAAGTCCTTTGGTGGGGTTACCTCCCTTCTTGGTTTTTTAATGCCACTAGGACCAGCTTGAGAGTCACTGGACCCCTGTCGCACAGAATGTCTGTCCAGAGAGCTCTGTTTCTCACCTGCCCTTAGGATTTCCTTAAAATGGGACACAAGAGTGTCATTGTACATGTTGCCAATATGGCTTGCAACAGCTGTGGCAGGATAAAATTCATTCATCCTTTGTAAACATTGTACACTGCACCAGCTCTTCCACATCCTCGCCACAAACCTCCAACAACATGTACTTTCCCAAGTGACACACTTGATTCCACAACTGGCATAGGCTCCTGAGGGTTAGCCACAAACCCTTCAAAATCCCTCTTGTACACATTGTGGCCACAGTTTCCTCCAAGCAGAGTTCAAAGTCTTGCAAGTCACTCTCTCCCAAGCCTTACCTATAAGGTTTATGCAACTGAGGATGTTGAAGTGATCTTTCCAAAACTCTCTTAGGGTCAATTCAGTTCTGAGGTCACTTCAAAGCACTTTTTGAAACACTGCTTTTGTGTAGAGTTTTTTGAAGTTTGAAATGACCTGCTGGTCCATGGGCTGGAGGAGAGGAATAGTATTAGGAGGTAAAAACAGGTCATGTGATCATTAGATGAGTGACATGAGCAAATTTGCTGATGATACAAAGATAGGCCATATGACTCATTCTGAGGAGGATAGCAATGAACTCCAGGAAAATTTGGACAAATTAATGTCTTGGTCTGAAAAATGGCAGATGAAGTTCAGTGTGGATAAGTGTAAGGTACTAGTCGTAATAATGTTGGTAGAATTACTTTGTGAAAACTTTTCATATGCTAACTTTTTCTCCCTTACTACTCTCTTTACATCATCATTCCACCAATAGCTCTTCTTCCCTTCCGCACTCACTTTCCTGTAATCACAAACTTCTGCTGAACACTCTAACACTACATTCTTAAACCTACCCCATACATCTTCAAGCCCATTGCCTATACTCTCGCTAGCCCATCTATCCTCTAATAGTTGTTTATATCTTACCCTAACTGCCTCCTCTTTTAGTTTATAAACCTTCGCCTCTCTCTTGCTGCTTCTATTTTCCTTGTATCCCATCTGCCTTTTACTCTCACTGTAGCTACAACTAAAAAGTGATGTGATATATCTGTGGCCCCTCTATAAACATGCACATCCTGAAGTCTACTCAACAAACTACTGTCATTTAGCCCTGTATCATATCTTGTATACTTATCCTCTTTTTCCTAAAATATGTATCACCTATAACTAAACCCCTTTCTATACAAGGTTCAATCAAAGGGCCTCCATTATCATTTACACCTGGCACCCCAAACTTACCTACCACACCCTCTCTAAATGTTTCTCCTACTTTAGCATTTAGATCCCTACCACAATTACTCTCTCACTTGGTTCAAAGGTTCTTAGACATTTGCTTAACATCTCCCAAAATCTCTCTTTCTCTCCTCTACACTCCTCTCTTCTCCAGGTGCATACACACTTATTATGACCCACTTTTTGTATCTGACCCTTATTTTAATCCACATAATCCTTGAATTTACACATTTATATTCCCTCTTCTCCTTCCATAACTGATCCTTCAAAATTATTGCTACCCCTTCCTTAGCTCTAACTCTCTCAGATACTCCTGACTTAATCCCATTTATTTCTCCCCACTGAAACTCACCCACCCCCTTCAGCTTTGTTTTGCTTAGGGCCAGGACATCCAACTTCTTTTCATTCATAACATCAGCAGTCATCTCTTAACATCCGCACTACATCCATTACTGTAAAGTAATAATATAATTTCAGATATGTAGCAATGGTATATACACTCTTATATGAATATATTGCATATCATTGCATTAGTGAATAGACTGGCTTAGCATGTCTGATTTTGGTCCAATTTGTGTTAGACAAACCTTAATTATATAGGCTAGGTTTCTTGGAAGTACAGCCTCTTCTTGCTTAACAACGGAGTTTCATTCCTAAGACCACGTTGTTAAACGAATTCGTTGCTAAGTGAGGAGCATACTATAATGGTAATGGGTTTGTGCCAACCATCTTTGATATTGTTTTTATGTCACCTTTGCACCATTTACAACATTTCTGGTACATTTTTAAATGTTTATACAGTAGTGTACTGTACAGTGGACCCCCAGATATCATAGTCATCGGATTTCACCCCACGCGTTCATATGATACATTTCGTAATATTCCATTCTTTTTAGTGCTTGCAACTGCTAAATAAGCCACCACGGGCCTAAAGAAAATTCCTAGTGCCAGCCAGCCATTTGGTAAAGGGCTGAGAGAGAGGGAAGAATGTGCCTCCTTCAGTGATTCTGCGATATGTACAATACTAAAGCAGCAGGAGTCGATAAAGGCTATAGCACCACCCAGCAATAAAGTGTAGCATTAACTGTGTAGCAAGTTAAGCAATTAATCAATAGAAAAAGGACAGCATGAAACTGACTCCTCCAATGTTGGAGATATATAGGGCTACTGACTAACACTGCCGCCATCACCACCATGTAAGGCTTATCTTTCAGTGGCCCTTACACACCCAACAACAAACAATACCACAACATGCTCGTCACATATGTAATGACATATTTTATTAATTCTTGAGTATATATGTTTCTTTGTTATTAATCTTGTTTATCATGTCATATTAGATGAGTTGTGCTAGATAAATAAGCCACAGAGTTGATGTTAGTGTCATATTGAAGGACTATCTTGTCCTGTTTCCCAACACACTCCCCTGTAACTGCCACAATTCCTAACATTCGCCAGAAACAGACCTCTCTGAAACACTTTTTTTGAGTGACGGGTCCAGTGACTCTCAAGCTGGTTCTAGTGGCATTAAAAAACAAAGAAGGGAAGTAACCCCAGAAAAGGACTTGGTACCTGAAGTCTTTATGGAAGGGGATTTCCCTTCCAAACAGTAATTTCTCCATCCTCTCCCCTCCTCCTGTCTTCAATACATTAAGAAGAGTCTTCAGTGAAGGTAGGTGTCATGTTATTATTGTTTTATTCTTCATGTCTCATTGTTTTCTGTGTATATTTCATGTAAAAAAAATATTTTTTTAATACTTTTGGGTGTGTGGAACGAATTAATTGGATTTACATTATTTCTTATGGGAACAATGAATTTGGAAATCGTCAAATTCGACTTGAGTCATACTCTGGAGTGGATTAATTACGATAACCGAGGGTCCACTGTATATTGAAATAAACAGAATTAAGAAATCAGCTCTAATATACATTATTTAGGTATAAATACTAGTCAGAGAGCCCTGGAGGTGGGAAGTACAGTGTCTGCACTCTAAAGGAAGGGTTTGGGACATTTGCTGTTTGGAGGAGCAGCTGAACTGTCGTATCTGCACGCCTCTGCCAAGACAATGATAGTGTGAATGATGATGAAAGTGTTTCTTTGTCGGGTCACCCTGCCTCGGTGAGAGACAGCCAGCATGTTAGACGAAGGGTG